GACGTCAATGACATGAACATGTCAACTATTTACACCACCTCCTCCTCCCACCAAGCACGCCTGTCAATCACCACAATGGGGATGAAGATGTTGAAGTCAATCTGGAGAGATCAACTCCCTCCAGTCTACCTGGCAAGTCAGGCGGGTGAACCCATCAAGGGACCATGGGGCTGCTACCGCATATCAATACTTCCGATTCCACTTTCATGTTACATACTAGAGCGCTCTAGTCAGACTCGAGTCACACCGGGCAATGTCGCCTTTCTCGTCGTACTTGTCAAGCTCTTCCGGCTCTTCCATGATCGGCAAGTCAGGCTATGACGAAGTATGACACTGAAGTGAATGGAAGTGATGACAGTCCAAGTCAGACAGTGACATTATAGTCCATGAGATAATATAACTTCAACTTCAGAATGATTTCAGAATCGGAAGAACGCTTATCATGATATGAACAGTGGTTTGAGTATGAACCATGAGGGTATGAAGGTGAAGGGTGGTTTGAGTCAGACAGTCTAGTCAGTCCAGTGGTGGTCAGTCCATAGTTTAACTATTAAAATTATTATATCATCTAACTATAGCCCAGCACTAGCCCAAAAAAGCAAAAAATAGAAAATGTCCGAAAGGCCAACCCAGTATCCTAGTCTGAACCTGGAGCTTCGTTGGCTCACGCCAGGAACAGACCCGTGAGCCCCCTGCTTGAGAGTGAAAACCAAAAAGGAAGGGGAGGGCCCTTAGAGACAGGGCTTGACACACACACACACACCTCCCGGCCGATTACTAGTTCAATGGCCACCAGAGACCCACATCTCCCTTTCCTACCATCGACATGAAACCCCACCCCTGGTAGAAGGCGGTTTACATTGCCTCCTAAGCCCCTCATGATGCCAATGATGCACTCGCAGCCATCAATTACATCACTTGCATCACAACACCCCAAAAAACATACATGTTCAATCCCATTCTGCTCGCCGTTTTTCGCTCTCCCCCACCAGGCTCTGGGTTCGCCCTCCAAAATTGCCCTCTGTGCGACCACTGCCCCCGACTTCGCTCGCCCATCCCAACTCCAGCCTAGCCTATCGGCTTGCTTTCGTGATATATATATATATATTATATCCAAAAATCAATCGTTTTTGCATGCTGCACCCATGTCTACTTCTGTCGGGCAACCTGGGTTCTTGGTTCCAGGGAGGAAGTACTTCGAACTACAGTAGTTTGCCCGAAAACTCTCCAGGCTTCCAAGTATTGCATCTAAAGGCAATCAATCCAAGCTCCTACTGTGCAAGCATTTGCAAGCATCTCTTACTTCTTACTTCCAGGAAGTCAAATGTGCAGAGCCGAGCCCAGAAATAAGATTCTCTAGAAACGATCCTACTTCGTACTTCCGGAAAACGCTTCACTTCCAGAAAACGCTTCAACATCAAAGTAACATTTTCTCAGAGAGCTCTAGAATAGGCAGCTCCGGCAGGCACACTGCCCAACAAAGTCACAGCAATGAATACGAGAATGTAAGCATGCCGTGGCAATGTGTGGGGAAGGTCATTTCTGTTTGCAAGCCTGATTTCTCCACGTGAGGCCCGTGGCTTCTATACATAAGAATTCCCACTGCACTTTCGGCAACTGGGAAAGGAGGTCTGAAACAAAGCTTCCTTCCGAAGCTCTCACCCTGGCATGTGGAAACGTGGGCGGGCTGAAGGTGAAAAAGAACATTACGAATTATAAGGAACATTAAGGAGCTAGCGCAGAGCCACCAAAGCGTCATCCGGCGCTGGCAAGGTGAGGAGAGGAGGATCCCTTGATTTCTTGAATGTCTCACTCCGCTGACCGATGGCAAGCAGCATCAGCATCAAGAAAAGCATCAGTGCCATCACGCCTGTGTACGTGTAGGTGCCACGAACCTGGCACAAAGACCATGGCTTACAAAGACAGCGCTTCACAAAGGTCACAAAGGCATCCCACCTGCAACCGTCTCACAAAATCTTCAATGCCTTACAAACTATGAGAAGGACGCAGAAAAACGCTCCTCATCCTGCCACGAAACCCCTATGTGTTGGCTCAACAGGCCCCCCACCACGGGGCCCAAGAATGAGCCCAACGCCACCGAAATGGTGTAGATCATGGAAGCTCCCAAATCGCGTTCTTCACTGGTCGTGTGCAAAGCATGTGTGACAAACTGCCTGTAGACCGGGATCCATCCTTGAGGAGTGTTCAGCAGCCAAACTCATCTGCTCTTTTCTTGTATTAAATTAAGTTAGACTACTTCTGTTAAGAAACAAAGCCAAACAACAAATGTCCAAAGGCTTCTTTCAACGCTTGGGAATCCAAAGGCAGCACCAGCACCCATTATGCACACTGAAATCCAAAAGAGCGCTGGAGATGGCTTCATCTCAACCACCTTGGATTCAAATGCTTGTTCCACAAAGAATCAAAATGATTGGTCTACATTCATCACTTTTCTTGTATGCACATGGATCAATCCATCAATACATACTGATACAAGACTGGTGCAATACTGTAATGTACAGTTATATTGAATGTGTCTAAAACATACACAATTCCGAACACATGTCCATCCAACCATTCACGGCAAATACTTCCACATAGAATTCGACGTGGCGTGAGCTTCATGTCCGAGAGCTTTAGTGGAATCAATCCAGACCGAAGGCGCAAAGTGGCTCCCAAAGGCAAGCTCCAACGGTCCGAGTAAGAAGAAGGATACTGCAATAAGCAAAGCACCGATCGCCATAAGTAAAAACCCCTTGGATGTGCACACACTCAAGTCACTCGGTGCCTAGCAAGAGTGCAAAAGACCACGGAATCGATAGTGGCAGTTCCTCCAGGACTTGGTCTGTCCTTCTTTGATGTTCAAATCTCTCGCTCTATGGCTTCAACAAAAGCAGTTCATGAACTTTTGCTAAAGCGGCGTTTCGCCCTTCATAAAGGTCATCGAGCCGGCCAACCAGTATCCCAAGCATCGAATAGATCGCACAAATTGTGGCATAAACAAGGCCCACAATCTGCACATCATATTTCAAGGGCTGTTCAGCACAATGTGGCTGCAAGGTAGGGTTCAAGACCTTTGTGGCGTGGGTCTCAGCTCAGCTAGGCACGACCCTCGTTTGAATCCATTTTGAGCCTTGATCCTGATTCACACAAAACACACATAAACACACGACAAAGCAGTCTTGCAGGAGGCCAGGGCGGCCAGTGAAGCCGAGAAACTCCAAAAACAATGCCTAGAATCGTGCAGTTAATGGCCGTTGGTACTGCCTTGAGAGAGAACTTTGACAAGCTTGGATTACTCCTCGCGGGTGTTGGCAACGTCGGCATGAGGACCCAATTCATCCCACCACAAAGCGCACCTGTAAGACCTAGGACTCACAGCCGTCTCCCAGATTTTGGACTGTCACCTACACTGAAGTGGCCAGCCTACAGACGCTTGCGTTCTCGCCCAGTCATTGAGGGGTCCAAGCAAGGAGGCTAATGCTAAATTCAATAAACTTGCACCAATTGAATTCAAAGACCCAAAACCAGGAAAGGGATGACATAGCCCACATGTTGCGCGCCACCTCCAATGCTGAACAATGTTGATCCAACCTTACGCGGTCGCAGCAGAACGAGTGCAACACTTGCCGGCATTCAGCACAAAAATATCGTACAAGCTTGAGCTGCAAGTGCATTCTTTTGAATTCTACGGCTCTTCCAACTCCACCTAGGCTCCATCTTCCATGTACAGTACCCGGACCCTCTCATCCACTCTCAATCCTAGGAGCAAGTGGGCCAAGGATGAGCGCCAAGCCATTTGCTCCTTCAAGCTTGCCTGCAGCTGTGCTGACCGTTGGGCCAAAGAGCGATGACAGCAAGCCTGGGACTTGATTGCGGTCACTTGTGCGAGAAGAAAAACAACACAGAAAAGGCGAAAACAAATGTTTGCTTTCTTAAGCCTGGAGCCCTTTAGAGTTTAAAGCGACAAAGATCAACAAAAGAACATCTTTCCAGCACATGGTGACGCACTGTAGCCAGCTGTGGACTGAAAAGAGTAAGCAAGCCCTGCTAAGACTCGGAGCACCAAAGATGCAGTGACAAAGAATGGGCCCTCATTGGCATACCAGCAGAATGCTTGCATAATGTTGGCCACACCTCCAATCAAGTTGCTTGCCACCAGCATCGGTTTTGAACCGAACTTCACCAGCAAGCGGCTAGCTAATGGGGCGAAGACCATCGTGGCAAGTTGAAAGACGCTGAAGATCCACCCCAAGGTTGGCGGACTGACTCTCTTTGCTTTGGCTTCAGCCGGGAAGAAAGGAGTCAGGATCGCACAAGGTGCCCATGAGGATCAGAGCGAAGATGCGATCCCGGTGTTCAGGAGGAGAAAAGGACTCAGCCTGTCCTTGGTCACTCAGGTGTTCAACGGCAATCCTCATTACTTACAAGCTTGGAATCTTGGAAGCTAGCCGCCGGACTATGAAAACACCGGCCAGAACTGTTTAAAAATTTGTCTAGATCTTGATTGTTACGTACGTAGCCAAACCCCCCCTTAAAGAAATATGCGCAATAGACTCAAAACACAACGTCTTCGGGCATCTGAGTTTCCAGGACTAACCATCCTTCAAGAATATCACCCCAAATTGAGGCTCTGAAGACATGCTGGGGAGCCAAAGCTGACGCGAAGCGGGCTACCAATGAACGCCCTGCTTACACCCACGCTCACAGACCGCAAAGTCCAGGGGTTCTAGTTACAAAGTACGGCCGGGAGATTCAGTCACAAGAATGTCACGAGATGGCACTAGTACAATCGATCTGTCCTTTACGGCGTCTCGCCTGTGCGCATCTCACCATGTCATCCACATTTACATATCCTCCTGTCCTTGCATGATCAACTTGGTAGCCATGGGAGAAACCATGACACGTCGAGCCTGCATCATGCCTCAACAAGCAAATAAGTAATTCTGTTGTTGGCGGGGTTGATCGGCAAGGTCAAGAGGTTTCCCTCTCTGAGTTGCTGATAGTGATGCTGGCATCGTGCGCCGCATAGAGCACAATGGCAGAGCCTGAACTTGGCCTGCAAAGCAAGTCCAAATTATCAACAGTAAAATGTTGGAATGGTTGGTCGAGTTGTGGTGGGAGGCTGCATCTACACACGGTACTTCACGGTGTGCACTCCCTATTTAAGGTGGCCACTGGGCTCACAGCTCGTCTAATCGCCTCTTACTCTTGCCAAGGTGCAAACTGCCTCCCAGCTGCTCGAGCTCCAAATGGGATCTGCTAATAGTTTCCTGAGCCTCGCGCAAGCCGCAAGCCCCAGCATGCGTCAACATTCACGACTAACTATGGAAAGCTCTGGGTTTCCTGTTCATGGCCGGAAGAAGGGCACTCCACAACTCACGTTTCCTTCCTCAATTTTGGCTGTTGGGAGACCCTTTTGGAACCCATTGGTCGTCCTTCCAGAGACTCGCCCCTCGGTCCCGTCAGAACTCTGTCCAATCAACTTATCCCTCACTGCTATCCTTGAGTGACCTGTGCCTCGAAAGACCTTGTCACCAGTTGCCAAGCGCCTCCGGGACCTTCCCAAAAAGGGCTCGCCGCCGCAGTGCATCGGAGAGCCATGCTTTGGACAAAGCACTGCTGTTCAGAAAGCTCGGGACCTGAAGCACTGTTAGTTGAGAGTCATGAAACAGCGGCTTCACAAACACCAAACGGGTCAAAAAGGGCCACGAGCATGTCGGGATCAGGACTGCGGAGCCGGTTCGAAAGAACGGGCTTGCAACACAGCATCTGAAGGAAAGTTGGTCCAGGTATATGCCAGTGTAAGACTAAAATGCCTCAGGATGCCCTAAGAACAAATGTGACTGTCTACCCAACAACTGGTGGCTGGACCAAAGAAGAGGAAAAAAAATCTTTAAAAAAAAACTTTATATATATATATATACCCGCAGAGCGGCTACAATCTATATATATATATAGTATGTCTAGCTTTGATACCAGGACCCACGCCACCCAGAAACGGTCTCGCCTTCGCATGTTCCAACCTCAATGGCCCCCCTGGGACTGCATCAGCCACAAGGACCAGAACAATGGCTTTGAAGGCCCGCAGTATCCAAGCCATGCGGCCACTGGCAATTTCAATTGTCTTTGGTGAAGAGGTTGTCAAAAGTTTGAATCAGGGCTGTCAAATATCAAGCTAAATCTCACAAAGCCAGTACTTGACGGTTAAGATGTTGCTGCTTGTTGAGCTGAGTGTGAGGAGGGCTGGCTGAGGGTGTGGGTAAGCGGGTTGGAGCTCGCGTCAATAAACCCTCCCAATTGCATTGATGTGACAAAACGCAATGGCGCAAGATCATATCAAGAAGATGAATTACCTAACACTCATAACGCACATCGAGGCATACCGTTCCAGCCTATATAACTTTTGGATCAAACTCGAACCACATCCTTTTGCTGGCTTTCACCGTACTATCACACAAGCAGCCCCATCACGTGTCTGCAGCATGGGTGGCATCTCCTGGGCGAGTCCGTAAAATGTTGCAACGCAACGCTGATCTACTTGCATGTTTCCCACTTTCGAAGCTGCTGAGGCTATGGCTCGCCAGCTTTTGGTCTCAGGAACCCACACGTCTGCCAAGGCACAGGCCTGCTGGTAGCACCATTCCGACCGAACAGCACAAGACCCAGAAATTGCCTTCCTGTAGCTACACCGTACACAAAGTTGCCAAGATATGCCAAGCTTAACCAAAAGGACAATCATCAGGAAACTGTAGGGGACTACGGTCTTGCTGCTACAGTGATGCCAGTTTCTGCACACAGAGGACTGAAGTGATTACTAAAAACCAGCATAAATCTGATATCATCTCAGACCTGGTGACCTCGGAACATCCGAGAAGGACCTCTTGCTCCTCATGCTACATTGCGACATGACCCTCCATGAAAGAAAATCCCTTTTGCTGAGTCTAGGTCCTAAGTCCCAAGTGACTAGGTTGGAACACTTGTACTAATTACTTGTGCCGCACAGTGTCTGAGAGCCCAATATGCACGGCCCTGTGGTTCAAGTAGACAAGGTGTGACTACTTCACGTGGTAGCGGAGTCGGAGCTGGTTGTCTACGGGCCGATCAGCTTCGCAGGCGGGAAACGCCCATTCTTGGTGGCAGTGGGTAACTCCGTCTGCAGTGCGCCGTAGTTGACGGCAAGGGCGGAGGCAAGACAAGAAAAAGGGGCACCGCCGCAGTGGAGAAAAAGAGCTCACGAACAACAGTTGACCACAGTTGAATAGCAAAGCGCTGCGAAGAACAGTTGAAGACACATGAAGACACCAAAGGAGAAGGAACAGAACACGGTTTCTTTGGAACTCGCCGGACACCGCACACGCCAACAGTACTACTACCAGCGCAAAGCGAGGCAGCTTCATCAAGCAGTGGCCACAACTACACGGAGTTCTTGGCAGCACAGGCTAGGTTGAGGTGTCCCCTGAGTCCACCTCGTCAACAAGAAGAAGTGTACAGTCAGTCATGTGCAGGCGCGTGTGGAAAAGAACTACCAAGTGTTGCTGCAGAAGTCCCAAGAACTCCCGGTCAAACAGCGAGGAGGAGCCACCTTTGCGCCGAAGCGCGTCGTGCAGTGAGCGACACACTGAGAGCAAGCCACGTGGAAGCAGTCTGTGCCGAGTCAACACGGTTCAGTTCTACAAGAGGCAGTGTGAGCGCAGGAAGCACGGCGCTCACAGTGGGGTACAATTCTACAGCGTACGCCGTCTTGGTACCAACACGACACAGCCAAAATGTGAGAAGCGAGGGTAGCATCTCTCAACTGTGGGGAATACCGCTTGAGTGCCATCACTTTAGCGCAGTTTCGCGGACGTGTTACAGCCGTGGTGCTTGTGAAAAGGCAAGCAGTTACTTGAACTTGTACGAGCCTTGTTTTGGGGTGAGGTGTGAGTCACCACTTCTTGTGTTTGATCACTTGCAGTGAGCACTGGACGTCGTGGTGCAAAGCCTGAAAGCACAAGCAACAGTTCAAGAAATCAATGGACAAAAACAAAAAAATACTAGTTTTGTGTATATAGCTATTTAAAAATACATAATTACATAATATTACAGTTTATATGTGTTGGCCCATGTTGCCACAAACAAACTGCAATCCATTTTCATGCTAACTCGGTGGACTCGTCAAGGTTCGGACACATATTGAGCACCTTAGTGCCTTAGTGCACAAAACTTGTGGAAAAGACCGCCAGGTGGACAGTGTGAAACCAAAAGAGAACCCAAACGGACCGGCCCGAATGGACATCGGAGCCATGGCACAGGAAAAGGAAAAAGTGTGCACAAGGGAAACCAGCAGCAGTGGAACCAGACATGGCAAGCACATGCAAGCACCACAAGTGGAGCAGATGTATGCATCCAGCAAGGGCGAGAAATGCGAATTTAAAGAAAAAGGCCTCATGAGAACAAGGGAAATGGAAAAACGTATATAATATATATATATAAGTTCCTACTGCGTCTCAGTTCTGTCCGCAAAATGAAGCGCCCCGACATGATCATGACAGTTCGTGACACGATTGCATCCATCAAGCCCTCAAACAACAATGAATTTACGTCATGTGCGACAGAAGGGGGCATCGATGCGCCAATCGATGACTTTAAAAGGACGACCGTGTATTCAGTCCAAGGCATAGCTTTGAAGGTCTACGGTGAGCAAACCCGGGGCATTGAGCTTGATGGTGGGCTGCGTGGGACCATGCGCGTGACAGTCAGGGATGCAAGTGAAAGCGGTATCTCGCCTCCTTGTTGTGCCTGCCACCCATAACATAGATGTCACCCTGAGCAACGCGATTGCGCTCTTGCATCATCACAAGAAGTGCAGATCGACACTGGACACGGTGACAATAGATCTGAAGCCACATGGCGGGAGAAGAAGGAATGCTAGAAACTTCTGCAATTTTCAATGGCTGCCTCTCCCCCTCTCTCGCTCCATCACACTCAAATGCCCTATCATACTTGTCTGTCCCAGTGCTGCTGGGATGAACCATGAAGCCACACTCAAGAAAATTGCTTTGAGCAAGACATCTTCTCGTCATCATGTGCGCAAAAGGTGTGATAGGATGTGATCGGTATGTTTGGGAAGGATTGTATTTGCCCTTGTCTCCAACGTGGGCAACCCCTGCAAGAAGCCTGGCAACAGGTGAATCCTGTGACTTGACCGTGCCCGGCACCTCCTCAGACACCGCCACTGCTGGGGAGAGTCGGGGAATCCTGACGGATCGCATCACCCCTGGGACGTTGTCGCTGCAATCTCCGCACAGCACCACAGTCCTCCAACTGGGAAGTTGCACCCAGCTGGCCTGTGTGGCTCGCCGGCCAGGCGGCCAGAAAGAAGACCATCCCTAAGAAAACCACATGGGTTCATGATTCTTATGGATGAGGCAAGCCACCTTGAACAAGCCATAAACATCCGCTTCAATGCGTCAAACATAGAGATATACTCAAGCCTTTCCAAAACCTGAAAGTCTTCATATACTTAGAACATCGGCTATAGAACATCAAAAATTTCACTATTAGCAACCAGAGCGCCACCACGCCTGTCAACATTCTAGATGGACAAGACACACTGATAGTCGCGGATCCTTTTCACGCACCAAAGCAGAACACAAGTCCTCTTTGAGCCCTTTCAAGATCTATATCTATTTGCCATGTCTCACGGCCAAGTGGTTTTCTTGTGGCCTCAGGACCGGTCATTCCCTAGTGGAAATTGAATCGGGAATTAAACACGCACAAACGTGTGCATTTTCAAAAGGCTGATGGTGTCTCATGTTTGTCTTTTCCCATGTTCTATGTGCAGCAGGGCCTTGTTCTGCCGTGGAGGCACGTGTTGGTGCGCAAGCAGGCAAGCGGGCAGAATTAGAAGCTTTGGCACGTTGGTGCGTTGGCGTACTGAAAAGCAGAATCTTGAAGCCTGGCAGTACCAAAATGGGGCCGCACAACTTGATTTAATTGATTTAAATCCGCCGACCCCTGCCTAGCTGACACCTAGGCGGGGCGGCACCTGGGACAGCGTAGCGAGAACGATTGCCACCTGCCTGCTCTGGCCCTTCTGCTCTCTGTCAAAGCCTTCTGTGCGGGCACTGACAGTTCAAACCTCCAGGGCCAGGGTGTTTTGCTGTGGCGAGACCGAGCTTTTGGCGTGGTCGCGGTCTTGCAGCGTCCGGAGCACACCTGCAGCTACCTGGGGCTTGCCCTGGACTGTTCTCTTTCTATGGGGTTCCGAAGGCGACGTTAGGGCCCCCATTCTGGCCCACTGACTGGGGTCGGCGGCACCAGGGCGTTAGCCCTTTCTATTAACTACGGCTTTAATTGATGAGTGAACGGTCCCAAAACCAGGACCGCCTCGCTGTTTGGTTTTTGGGACCGCCGGCAAGGCTTGTCAAAGCGACGCTAGCTTGGTTTTTGGTTGGCTTTGCGGGCTCCGAACCTATGACCGTTCCGCGCCCGCAGGCAAAAGTGCAACTTTGCATGCTCTAAGTCTGGGATCAGAACCTCCTCAACCCATCTCAATCCCATACGCTTAGGACATCTGTAATGTTCTTACCCATGCGGTTAGAACATGCCGAACTGGGAATTTGAGCAAAACATGCTCAAACACATGAATCTAAATTAAATCCAAATATGTTCTCCGTATTTCATATGTCTTATATATATATATATTCTCCACTGCAATCACGAGCCATGTGCATAACATTGCATAACTGCCTGCACGGTGTCCGTTATGTCCCCTCACTCCGAAGCTGCTCAGTTGGGGGGCAACATACCCCCGCCTGCCCGAAGCGCACCACCAAGCCTGAAGTGTCCGTGCAATTTCGCAGGGGTGAGCATCTGCACTGCACTGCACGGAATTTGCTACGCCTGGTTAGGGAGTTTGAAATCGGATGCGTCACCCTGGCACCCGGGCACTCATTCCTGGCGAGAGCAGTGCCAGGGGATCCTGCTGAGGCTCCACCAATGGAGACCTTGAAGCGAGCAACTTATTGTGGGGAAGTTGCCTCGTATAGCAACTAGGTCACCCCTGAAGGAATGTGGAAGAACAGTGTAACCCCTGAAGTATGTGGCTGTTCGTCCGGTTGTATTGTTCTCTTGAATAAGTCTGATGCCTTTGGGCAGTGGACAATTGGCACATCAGTTCTCGGCGGCTAGGGCTTCAGGCCAAGCCCTGGGAGTGACTCCACGCCTTAGCTCGAGCTACATCTGCCGTTGATTTCAAGGCCGCTGGGCCGACATGGTTGTCGTCCGATGGGAAGACCAGCTTAGACCAGCTTCTTGCACTGTGTGCATTCAGGCGGCCATGGTGGAAGCCAGGCGAACGGGCACCTCAATCGGAGGGACAAAGCACCAAACTCCTAAACTCCCAGTCCACGTGCCGTCTGTCAACCGTAGAGAGGCCTGCCTCTCTGGGAAGTTGTAATACCTCGTCGAATATATCATATCATCATATATCTGCACCTCCAGTCCAATCATTTCATGTTTGAGGATGTTTGAGGAATCTTTGACTACATCTCCTTGAAGGGCTGAGGGCATCTCAACTCACCAAGGACCCAAAAGAATGCGCCAACAGTGTCTGGATCTGTCCAAGTCCTTTGGGAGGATATAGATTTTAAAAATCAGCATCTTCCACTTCTCCATCCAGCCTGCGTTGGTAGAGGTTCGATGGTCCATCGGCCTGCCTCTGCAGGAGAGAAACGTGCTACAGCTATGTCATCAGCACATCGAGTCTGGGCACAATCCTCACATAAAGTACTGTAGCATACTGTAGCAATGCACTGGCAGAAGCATGTCTTTGAGTATCTTCCATAAGTTCAAGCTGCTGATTCACTCACCGGACAATGAGCTGCCTCGAGGTCCAAGCGTTCGGCAGTCAAAGCACTTCCGCCACCTGCCAGGACCATAAGCGACCCCGTTAAATGGCAACTTGGAAGGTCTGGCTTCTTACGGGTGTGGTGTGTCATTTAATCGACCTATATATATATCATCTTATATCAGTACCCTGTGATAGTTCTTCTTTCCGTTGCTGAACAAGTCCCCGTGAAGTTCTTCACAGACTCAACACATGTCAAACCGATGTAGTTATGAGCCCAACGAGCCTTTAGCCTGAGTTGAGCACTGGTTTCCCTTGCCGCTGTTGGTTTGTTTCCATGGTGGCTCTTCGCATGATATCCCCCAAAACAGGTTTCCTTGCACGGCGTGAATTCAGTCTGCTAAGTAATCAGTAACTAGTTTTCTGCAGTCACGTCAACCTTTGTTAAAACACCTTCAAGTACTCTGACTTTTCGCCTTTCGCCTTTCCTAGGTCTGCTAAGTATTCAGTAACTAGTGTTCTGCAGTCACGCGTAACCTTCTGTTGAACAATACTGTTTTGCGGACTCTTCCACCTTTCCGTTCCCTCACCTTTTTTCCACTTGGGAATAGATTAACTGAAAACCAATGTCAGAGTGTGTAGTAACCTTGCAAACCAGAACTCCCCGCCCCCTAGTCTTTATAACCGTCTTACGAGAACCAGAATGAAAGGTTAGTGTGCGACATGTTTGCGGGTTTTCCCATGCAAACACACGCGCTTGCATTGGTCAGTGTGGTGCCAAGGACTAGCCGGCACCGAAGACAGCATGCATTGCGAACATCTCAAGTGTTGCAGAATGTCACAATGCAATAAGCGAAACAGGTGTTGAATTGAAGATTGCGCAGCTCTTGCATTGCAAGTGGGCGCCAAAAAACAGCACAAACTGAGCAGCAAGAGTTCTGCTCTCGAGCTGCTGCAAACGACTAAGACTGGTGCATTCCAATGGATTTCTATAGCAGTATTTTATCAGAGATCTCAGCTATCGTTCTTCTTTTGTTCAACATTGAAGCTCGGTGCTTCAAGACCAGCAAGATTGGGCATTCCCAACCACAAGCATCACAAAAATAAAGCCAAGTCCTTTCAAGCTTTTCTGCCCTGCGGAGTTCAGGGCGAGTTGCTGCTCCATGTCTCTATCCAGCGAAGTGGTGGAAAGCTGAGGAACTTGGTCGCTGCCCATGGCTGTTGCAGCCCAATCGCCATGCGCAACAGCCGGGTACCTGTCATCACTTGGAAAACTCACTCCTTCATAGGCGGCCAAAATGTGGTCGAAGGCTTTGCGATAAATCCAGGCAGCGTCTCCTCCCAGATTCACCTAGAATGTGCAAGAAAGGGCCCCCTCAAAAGGCACATGTTCATGCCCCATGTGACTTTGAGATCCGCATTGGGGGCCTAAGAAGCTTCGTTTACGACCCGTTAAGTCACAGGATAGCGCTCAGCCGAAGCCATTGCCACCCGGGAAATCTCCTGGACACTACTCGAGATGTTGCTGGCAGTAGTGAGGGTCTTGGCCTCAGTGCACAAGCTCAGAGAAGGGAAATAAAGTTGAGATTGCAAACTCATCACTGGGGTGCGTAAATTTAGTTAACTGAAGAGCCTTGGGCTCATACGTTTGACGTGGCTTCACCAACCAAGACACCGTCATACTGTACATAGCACCGCACAGTTCAGGATTGCCTTTGTTCCAAAGTGTCGACCCACGCTCAACAGTTGCCTGGGCAAGGATGAGCATGGAAAGCAGGATTGTCGCAGGGTGGCGGGGGCCGGCGGACCCCCAGAAGCTCACAAGCAGGGATCTTATCTCTCTATTTGTTGTGCTCACCACACTAAATGCAAAACACAAACACGTAGGTAACGGTATGTGACAGCATATATATATAATGTATATAGATATGTATACACACTATATCGCGTCCACATTAACGTGTATATATATATATACATACGCAGAAAGCATGCCATCATGTGGAAATCAAAAGATTGATGCAGGTTGCTTTGACCAGCATCCATGCTTTGGCATCTGATAGGACTAATGCGGGCACTTGCCCAAAAGCCGGCACTTCAGAGTCTCGTACAGCACGAATCTGACGAATCTTGAACTTGAACGGGCCTTCCTGGTAAAGGGCATACCTCGGCCGGGAGGATTTGGCAACACATGCAACAGAACCATGATAACCTGTTCGAGCCATGATAACCCGCTTGAACAACGGGGCATTCTAACCGTCCCAGGCACACAGAGAGATCATTGATTCGCCCCGTGTCAAGTGTGCATCCCCTGCAGCTCCAACGGAGCTGTTTCGTGAACCACCCGAAGGGAAGAAACACTGAGTATGTTGATCCGGCAGGACCTGAGGGAATCGCAAATGCTGCTCCATGATCATAGCGAGAAGGATCGCCCAACTGGATATGAACTGCAAATGGGGCATGAAACCTCAAGCGTGCTGTGCTCAGCAAGAATGACTCCAGAATGATTTAAGCCTTAAGCTCAAATACCTGAGGCCAGTGTATGACAAGGGCCCCACCCGGGCCCCACCCCCACAAAAGAAGAAAACAATGCAAGCTTACTGAGGCTGCCCAGGAACAAAGGCTGCTCAGTCACAACATCCGTCTCCACCCAAAGCCCTGAATATTGAGCCAGATCTCTCTCACCCCATGGACCAAAGTTCCTTCGAAAGGAAGCAAAGCCACCACCTAACAAAGGCCAAGAAGAGGGGCGGGCAAAGAAACGGAAGAAATAGAGACAAGCCTGGCAGACTCTTGAGACTGCCAACATCTGACAAGGCACCATTCATGTTGATGCTCCCCTCAAATTCCTCATCATCACACACAAAGAAAGCGTAAACATCACATGATATCCCGCTTCTATGTTCAAAGCGCGCACGTGACACATTGAGCAACTCAGTTCTCGACGACACCCCTCTCACTACAGATTTGAACTGAATTAACTGAAGTGTACGCTGCAAAGGGGTTGATTGTCAATGATTGACGCCTACATACAGTATCTATAACGATCTATATATACACTATACACAGTCTGCCCCCCTTCATGAGCAAGACTCTGCACCACTTCCACTCAGCTTCAGGTTTGAATTGGACCGCCCACCCATCACGTCGTCATTCTGCACATACCTCAAGCAGGTCAATTTGCCAAGCAAACTACTATTGATCGCCAGTCCTCCAAATTCACGAGTCATTCAATGCAGCCCTGAAACTAGCCATACATGCCCGTGTATTAAAACCTCTTGACGATCTTAGCGCAGGAAGGAGTAAGAAAATGGCCCGTAAGCCATGCAGCTTGCTACCGGAGATTTCGAGGGTGTTGCGTATCTTTGATTGCTCAGGGGCCATCCCAGCACAACAATCTTGCATCACACGTAAATGCCTGAGAAGGATACGACAACAGCAAGCTGGCCTTTGGGCAAATCCTATTGACCCAAATTGACCGAACCTATTCTTGTCAAGTGGGCTGTTGCTTGGCAACAAACATGCCCTCCAACACATGTAATTATGAACCGGGCTTGCGATCCAATTTTTGACAGATTCAGAAACTGTTTCTAGAAACTGCACTCCAGTATGAGGATGAGGGACTTCATCTCCTTTATGTCCGACCGCGGTTGTAAATTGCCAGTGTACTGTGCAAAGACCGTTGTGCCAACATACGCTTGCTATGAGCTAGCTAAGACACCACCCAGCAGAAGTCCATTCAGCCAGATCTTTGCCTGCAGCAGTCAGTGAAGTGACTGCTAAGAAGTTTGCTACGAAGCTGTTTCTGAGCTTCCCCATGGCAGAGGCGCAGATGGTTCCAAGGCCGAGCCGGCTGGAATAGATACAATGGTGGGTTGTAATCTATTAGTAAGACCATGCCGTGCCCTATCACTCTTTCTGGAGCAAATCTGAATCTTCGTAGTACCAGGTATCTGATCTGTAGAGGTTCTTGTCAGTGAAACAGGCCACAGGTGTTGCAAAAAGAGGGCAGCAATATCTAAAATATCTAATATTCTACGGCTGTGCCCTTCCATGTGCAAGTATGCAGCCAAAGGAGTGCTACCAAATGGCTCTGCGGCACCAGGAGTCCAATGATTCAAGCAGCACATAGCGGCAGCTTGTAACCCGGGTTTGCTTCCCTTCCAACGCTCTTGCGAAGCATCCGTCAATAATATATGGCGGGCATGATAGATGTATAGCAGCAGCCTGACTTCTCGAGCACATGTCTTTCAAAAAGCCAGCCTTGCTCTCACCGAATCATGCTAGCGTTGGCCACGTTGAGCCAAGGCGTTTGTCTCTCATAAAGAGCATGAGCAAGTGTCTTTTTAAGGGGAGAAAATGGAAACAATGTCAATGGCTCACCACTATATAAAAATAGCATGTCGATTCCAAAGTGCCCTGGTCGATTCAAGCTGCACTTACCTTGCAAACAACCGAAGGTTGTACAAAGCACCATGCTGTGAAGTGCAGCAACAGCTATAAGTATACAAACTTCATCAATCTTCATCAAACTTCTCCCAAACATCTGAGATCTGGAGCCATTCAACCTCTCTGCCATGCAAATGAGGGTACACATTCATGTCAGATGGTGTAATGGTATCCTCTTGTCTTGGCCACCCCGCCTCCGAGCACAAAGAGGTCGCCCCCCAGAACCTGAGCTTTAGTACTTTGCAAGGTTTGAGACCTTGGGCAGGCCAGACGGCAAAATATTACAAAACAGTCTCAAAAGCTAGTGTGGAAAAAAAGACATGACTCTAAAAAGCTTAGGAACACTGGTTGTGCCCCTCACAAACCAACAAATGGACATCTCAATGGAACCCTCCATGCAGAGTAAGTCGATGACTCTTCAAGTCACATGACATAATCCAAATGCATCCAGATGTTCGATGCTTGCTTTTGACTCTACCCAGGCTGCTCCAATCCCTGCATGCCGTCCGCGGAAAGTTTGAACTTCATTGTCACGTTCTCTAGGGTCGGCCTAAAAGTTTGAAGGAGAGCTATAAGGCCTAAATGTCCTAAATGCAAACCTTTGCAAAACTCAGATTTTGTCAATAATTACAGGCCAGTATCCTTAAAAATGCTGGTTTACAGACTATCCTTCGTTTCGATCTGGCTCCGATTCAAGGCCCACACGGCCGCAGTCGCCGAGATTCGCGGCTCAATCAAAGATGGTGCCTCAACAAGAATGCGGGATAGATGTGCAACTCGCGAGACTCCTGTGTGCACAAGCTCTCTTGCTCATCTAAGTATAGGTGTACAAATGCATTCTCATTGCATGCGTATCTGTAAACAAAAACTATATGTATATATATGTGTATATATATATATATCTGTGCAAAGGTACGTACGTGACGTATTCGGAGTGACTGTGTCGACCAGCAGATTTGCAAGAAAGTGATGTGGCGATCCGCTTCATGTTCAAGCTTGAGACATAAATGCATTTATTCTATTACAGTATGTAGTACTACGTGTGTATGTGCAAATGTAAAAATATAACTATATGTAGGTATATGTATATATATATGTCTAATACACATGTGTGTGTGAGCGCGTGTGTCATTATGTATGCATGGTGCATGTGTGCATGTATGTAGGTATGTACTGGAATGTAGATATGCATGTAGGTATGTATGTTGTGCCTGGACTGCAATAGTAAGCCATCTCCGATCGCAGCCTGATGCTGATACATGCCCAAACCACATTGTTGAGAAGCAGTCATGCTTTACAACCAACTTGGTGGCAATGCCCCAGTCCCAACATCACAGCTGCGGGGTCGCGTCATGACGCCAAGATGCTAATTGCCACTTGGACCTGCACCAGGAGGCCATGTTCCATCTTCGCTTAGAATGGCAGTGGCCAGCTCTTTTGGGCTTTTTAGTTCCCAATGCACCCAGATTTCCTGTTTTACTTCTATATATACACTTTACTGTTGTCACACGAGATGGGATCAGTCATTCCGTGACTCACTCATACTCACTGCTAGTTTCAAATCTCACTGTGCAAGTTGAACATCCGCCTGGATAATCTCTCACACTGAAGGACAGGCGATGAGATGCCCCGACCACCGATGACATAGACCTGGCCAGTGGCATTTAATCGACCCCAATCAGGGACTTCCTTACAATTCGTGAGCCCAGTGGCTCGGAGAGCAAACTTGAAACTTGATCTGGCTTCTCCCCTGCCTGTTGCCAAAACCAAACAAATAAGAAAAATCCCATCATCCTGGCCACCTCGTTCTGGAATTCCACGGCAGTGGCACCCCAACGTGCATGCTGCATTGGCGCCCTGAGTGACAGATTTGCAGCTGGCTTCAGATCTGAATTATTTTGCAAGGAAACCACTGTTCTTAGGGCCTGGCACCGTTTGCCAAAGGTTTCTGTCAAGGTCGTACCTGTTGGGCATTCGAAGTTGTCAAAAGAGGAAAGCTCATCATCTGGCGATTGCACCTGGACAATCTTAGATCCATGGAGATCCGTAGGTGATCCAGAAGATAGAGCCTTTATTATATATATAGATCATAGATCATCCGCTTTTCTAGCTCTGGACTTGTCGGCATCCAGGCCCCAGGAACCACCAGGACCAGGACTATATCCGCCGACCCCTTGCGACTGCAAGGGGAGCGCGTGAGAGAAGGTGCGAGTGCTCAGGGTGTGGAGGGTTCGAGCATGGTCTTGCTGTGTGGGGGCGCACGGAGCGGCCCCGGAGATGGCGCCCCAGATACTGGCCGATTTCTGGGAGCTTTGGAGGGAGGGGACGAGTATGGTGTTGAGGGGAGGAAATGTTTTTCGATGATTTTTGGATGCTTGGTGGGCCTGCTCTTCAAACCCCTCAAACCCCTCAAATCCCTCAAAAGCCTCGAAATTTCTCAAAAGCCTCGAAACTTGCCAGAAGGGGCTTGCTCGAGGCTGCTGCAAAATGTTTTTGTTTTTTTACGGGATCCGAAAGCGACGTTAGACATCTAGGCCTGCCCTTCAAACCCCTCAAATCCCTCAAAAGCCTCGAAACTTGCCAGAAGGGGTTTGCTCGAGGCTGCTCCAAAATGTTTTTTTACGGGATCCGAAAGCGACGTTAGACACCTGGGCCCTTCAAACCCCTCAAACCTCGAGGCTGCTTCAAAATGTTTTTGCTTTTTTACGGGATCCAAAAGCGACGTTAGACATCGGGGCCTGCCCTTCAAACCCCTCAAAGCCCTTCAAACCCCTCAAACCCCTCAAATCTCTCAAAAGCCTCGAAACTTGCCAGAAGGGGCTTGCTCGAGGCTGCTCCAAAATGTTTTTTTACGGGATCCGAAAGCGACGTGAGACATCTGGGCCTGCCCGTCAAACCCCGCAAACCCCTCAAATCCCTCAAAAGCCTCGAAACTTGCCAGAAGGGGCTTGCTCGAGGCTGCTCCAAAATGTTTTTTTACGGGATCCGAAAGCGACGTGAGACATCTGGGCCTGCCCGTCAAACCCCGCAAACCCCTCAAAAGCCTCGAAACTTGCCAGAAGGGGCTTGCTCGAGGCTGCTCCAAAATGTTCTTTTACGGGATCCGAAAGCGACGTTAGACATCGGGGCCTGCCCTTCAAACCCCTCAAACCCCTCAAAAGCCTCGAAACTTGCCAGAAGGGGCTTGCTCGAGGCTGCTCCAAAATGTTTTTTTTGGTCCAGCTTCTGGACGCTGGAGACGCTCCAATACCTCGCACTTGCTAGACTGTGCATGGGCTCTTGCCACTTGCTGGGCTTTGGCACACTATGTCCCTTTTTCTCGTGGTCCGCAACGGTCCCTCTGAGCTATTTCTTGCCTCTCGTCTTCTGCGCGTTCTTCTTTTGGTATTTGCACAGCACCATGTCAACGGTCTGCTGGGAGAGTCGAACAACAACCCACAAAGCACTGCTAATTCGAGCAAAGAACTTGTCAACGTGGAGATGTTCTTAGAACTGTGGAGGCGGGTTGCCACGGATTCCCCTGAAGCTTGTTTGATAATAGTAGGGCCCAAGCGCCTTGGTGACGTACATGTTGCCATGGTCGTGAGCTTTGTGGTGTTCGATCTTGTCGGGGTTTCGCATTGCTCTTTTTGTGTTAGGGAGTTCGCGCTGGGGTGCCGCCAGGGTCTCCAGTTGGCATCCACCAGTGCTACCCTGTGACCACCGGCCACGCAAAATGTCACCCACACAGGTAATCATATATATTGTTATCCTTGTGTGTTGGTTGTGTTTGAGCGTTGTGGCTGTGTGTTTGTGACTTGTGATTGTAGCTGTGTGTTTGTGATTGTGTTTCTAGTTGCGTTTGTGATCGTGGCTGTGGTTGCGTTTGTGCTTGAGTTCGTGGTTCGTTTGTTTGTGCTTCTGTATCGTGGCTGTGCTTCGTTGGTTCTGTACTCTGTTTTGTTTTTGTGGCTGCATGTTGTGCGTTTTGGCTGGCGGTTGAACACGACGCGCACGAGGAGGAGGACGAAGCGGAGGAGAAGGAGAAGAAAGGCAGCTCACATAAAATCTAACAACCCTCACCTGACAAGTACGGCAAAAGACTCCTCCACCCGAACAAGTCTACGACTCGTCGCCGGTACCAACCCCAAGGAACTCAGTTGAGTCTAGTTCACCTTAGTGACCTTAGTTTCTCTGCTTGTCTTGAGTGCGGGGCCATGAGAGCTCATGCACGATCGCGTTCACCCATTCCGATTCCCCCCCCAAAAAAAAGGCGGCGCTTGTACAGCGCATCCCACTTATGCAGCGGGCGCCGTGTCTTACTTAGTTTTTTCCCCGCCTGTGCCTTAGTGTGTGCGTGGGTTTCATGTCATCTGGAAATGGAGTAAATAAGACAGTGCTTGTGCAGCACGTCCCACTTATTCAGCGGGCGTCTTATTTACTCCATTTCCAGATGACATGAAACCACGACCCTTCTCCCCCTCGCTGGGGTCGGCGGCACGGGGCGTAGCCCTTACAATATATTTGAGCAAGCTCTGGGTAAATCAGTGTGGACACCAAACCGGCGCACTCCTCCACTGAATCCAGGATGGTGTCCCCGTCCTCTAGCGCAAGAATACACAAGATTTCAAGGGAAGTTGCCCAATCTGTATGTTGATGAAAAAGCAGGACGTGATTGAATATGGTTTATGTGTATGCACCTTTATGTAACATGATCCAACTATGCCCGTATCCTGAGTAATGTTGTACATATTGTCGCTTGAGTTTAGTGTCATTTCAGCAGGCATGTTATTTCAACTGTCCCAGGCCTTGCCACCCATCACCAAGACACGGCCATCTCGTGTACAGAGAGCTGCCCCGAAGGCCCGGCTGACGGCCATCTCTGCGAGGCTTCGCCAAGAGCCATCGAAGAGCTCCGAGGATTTGCTGCCGCTCAGCGCTCCACCGCCCAGAACCAGGACGCGGCTGGGGAACCACTGCCTGGCGACGAGAGGCGAGAAAAATGGTCGTGGTGGGCGTTGGAAACGCGGTGCGATGCAATGGGTGCACGTGGCAAGGCATGCGGCTAAGGAATGCTAAGGAGCTGGAAGGCAAAGGCCACATCTTGAATCTGGCTAAGCCTGGGCGGCGCTTTGTTTCTCTCCGTCACCCAAAGGTAGGATACACTTGTAATGGTCCGTCGGATGTGTAGTGAAACATTGAGATTCAATGGGAGTGTATCACCCGGCTGGCCAGAGTGCATCATCATGTAGACTCATCCAAGTGGCAACCCCCGGCAGGTCCATGCAAGCTTGACACTGCTTCGGTAGCCAGAGGATCGAAGTAGAGTGCCTCAGGCAGGCGAAGGTTGGGACTCGCGTATTTGGGCAGCTGATTCTCTCGTAGGTGAAGATTCGACATTGAATTCCATCCCTCGCTCAGCTAGGTTCAGGAGGCCGTCAGCCATGAGAGAAATGAAACACGATGAAGCAAAGCTTGGCAAGAGCTTGCTTGCAGCTTGGGATCTGCAAGAGCTGGTCAAGGGTCAAAGGCAGCCATGGGTTCTGCTATTGAAGCAAGACACCGGGGATGATGCAACCTTTCTGCGGAGGCCTTCTTGATTTTTTAATCATGACCGGCAAGTCTGAGTGTCTCAAACTCTGCTCCAAGGCACTCAATGCATCCCAAGAAGTGACTGACGCCGCAAGGCTTACAACATAGTGCACACCTGGAGCCGTGCTAGGTGTGCTGCGCGAAGGTTGTCCTCGGTGAGAGATGGGATGCGCAAACCCAAGCAATTTACTTCCACCGCAAAAGCGACGCGCAACTGCGCTGCGCTCATGAGGGAAACCAAAAGTGAATGCTCAATGTTCACGACATTGTTGACTCATTTATGGCAGCAAATGACACTCCCCTCTCTTCGTCGGCTTTGACAAATGGGTGAGGCTGGAAGAAGGGAACCGATCTCATCAAGACAGAGCTGGATGAGAAGAAGCATCACGTCAGTTACAAACCTGTGAGATTGCAAACTAAGTCTCTGTCATGGATCTCCTCGACATCCTCCACTATGGTGGGCTTTCTCAGCTTCCCACGTTCCACATCACCCCGAAGTGCCACATCAAGCCTTGGATGCAAAACTGCACATGCTAAGGGGACAAACGTCCTGCAGGAGTCATCTTTTTCTCCTGTGCCTGTGCCCCGCGGCCCTGCCTGTTTTATCGGTATCCTCAAAAGCTAGCAAGGAGCCTTTTCGACAGGGGCTCTGCCAGCTCTGGCTCCGGATGAGCATGGGCAATGTTCGCAGGCGTTGCAGATTGGACGGAAGCCAGCTCTGACAGTGCCACCTCTCCATCCTTCTTTGCCAAAGCCTGTCAAAATGGTGTTTTGCACTTTGTAACCCTAGCTTCCCTACCTATTCACCATGTCAACAGGAGAATCAATAAGAACTATATAACCAGCGTTCGCTCTCCAACATTCTGCTGCTTCAAACACATTTCATGAATGCAAAGCCGAGCCAAGCAAGAACTTTTCAGAAGAGTGCTGTCATTCCGTTGACCTTCAAACTGTGAGAGGTGTGCCCAGGCTTGGCCTCCAATCTCTGCTCCAATTTGGTCTGCTTCTCAAGTAGTTCCTCTGATAAAGGGCAGTGGTGTGCAAGGTCTGGGCACGATAATGTGTAGTTGGAGTGCACTCGTAAAACTACATTGATGTTGTCTCTGTATATACTTGCATATGTCTGTCGGAGTGCCTTGCACCTGTAAAGTGTGCATTCAAATCAGCATCGCAGTCGAAATGCTTGGGCCCTTTGGAACCGATGGCATCCAACAAAGCTTACTGCATGTATATATATATATATATTATAGGTATATACGTAAAGAAGCACACACATGGCAACTTCTCCAGGCATGTGCTCAATCTGCGCATATCTGTGCCATCACTCTGCCTCAAACGGTGTTACTTTGCAACCAAGCTTTCATGTACAGCTACGTCGTCTGTGTGCAGGACAAGCTTCTCGGATCTGCTCTCGTACCTCTACCAGCTCTTTGCGCAGCTTCTCCACTGAGTCCTCCTCCATGGCTCTGCATGTGTCTCCGATCTACATCTGTTTGCTGAAGAGGCGTTGAATGTGGCTTGGACTAGTGCTCCAAGGCATCTCGTCCTACCTCAATATTTCATGGAGGATGGCCGCCACATGGAGATATGTGGATCTGGATCTGAGTCCGTTAGAGCGAGAGGGCGTCCATACCCGCACATGTGAACACAAACATAACAAATGCTCAGCGTCACTATTTATAAATTTAGAATTACAGCTTGTCATATTATCTGTCGCGGTTAATCTTGCATTGGCTGCTGTCTTTTGAAAGCATCTGTTTAGCATTTGGCCAAAGGTTCTGGGGTCATGGACTTTGAATCATTGCAGCGTCTCGGTTCCAAGATTCCGAGACTGGGAGATTAGCGGGGGGTGGCGATGGTATATGATGTTGTGGCTCATGTCAGGAAGGTTCGATGAAAGAATCAATTGGCTAAAGGCATGCTAAAGACTCCCTAAAACCACCCAAATACGCCAAATATCCTTTTTCAGCGCTGACACTCACCTTCTCGGATCATACTCAGGAAATGCGTGCCTCGGGCAAGGTCGTGGTGCTCTTACCTTCCCCCACCGTGGTTCATGTCAGCCAATCACACTTCAAGAGTTGCATCCTGGATTGGCAATAACTGTGTCCATGAGGGCTGTGATGCCCGGTGATGCCCGTTATAAATTGCATGGAGTAGAGTGGTTGCGCATCGGGTGCATGTGCACACCTTATTACCTGCGGATGTCATTGCAATCACTCTGGAAGATATTGCCTGCACACTCCATGTCGCCGGCGAAAATCAACACCTGTTTCAATCAGAAGATTCAGTGTAGAACTTGGGGCGCGACACATAACCTAAGCCTTCTTCTGAGGAAGGAGGTGGATCGTCAAAGATTTGCCGGGCAGACTGGCAAAGGATGGAAGACATGTGGCTTCAGTAAAGCTCGAGAGTGTAGCAAAGGATGACAGCGAAACTGACGCACTATACACTTGTATGCCGTAAGCTCACCTGTAGCTACCTTGCATGGTCGCATTCAATCAATACGTTTGTGGTCGACGGTGTGCAGCCAGAAACTCCAGGATTGACCTTTCCAACGTCCAAGATCAATGTCTGAAGCACTCAGAAACTCCCTTGCTGGTCTACGCGCGGGATCCTGCGCGGCTACCCCTCCCACCCCACCCCGTCTGCAGACTGGTTCATCTCACGGGCCATGCTGGCCGCAAGCTCCTGCGACAGCGGTGTTGGCCCATGGCCGGTTTGGGCAGACTGCACGGCCCTAAAAGTTTTGAGTCTCGGGACAATGATGCAGTTCCTGCTCTCTGAAATCACGACCAATGATTCGAGGGCCTTGGCGGAAGGACCTTCCATGCCTTGGCACAGGCTCGTTTGCACGTGACACGCCATGATGATGCAACCTTGATCAACCTTGCACACGTCAAACATGGAAGAAATAGTAATGAATAATAAATACAGTATATAGTATACACAAATCCCCGACTAAGGTATGCACTTTGTTCTGCCAAGTTTTCGTTTAGCAGCCAGTCTTCCAACGGAGACATCGTGACCTTGCGGAAGCGCACAAGAAACTGCCAGGGTATGCTGGGTTTCTGAGCTATGGGAAGAGCTCTGTTTGGTGGCCCATTTGAAGCACGGGCCAAACGAGCTTCTTCTCGTAAAGGCACTTGGGCCATATCTGAGGGACAGGTCAGGACTTGTTAGCCGTTACCTTGTTAGCAGACCTTGAAAGAACTCATTCCGAAGGCAGCTGACCCCTCACCTGCAAATACATTGCACTGATTGCTTTCATGTTGGCCTGCTTCCATTTGCCTCAGCCAGGCCAACTTACGAACCAACTTGGATTGCAAAACCCTTCCAAACATTCATGCGGCTGAGAACACCCCCTCAAAATGTGAACCGGAACAACATGGAACAACCCAAAGAACGCAATCCCAAAGAGAAAATCAGATGAAGCTAACCAAAGAGAGCCAACCACTTGCTGACCCAAGCTGTAAAGCTGATACCTGACTGGTCTAATCGCCAACGGTTGGAAAATCCATATGAAGGCTAAAGGCTATCAAAAGCTTTTGCGGGAGACACGTTCTCTGGCTGGCTGGCCTAAATCTGGCACGATCTTGACTCTTGCGCTGTGCCATCTGCAGCCCACACTTGCAACTAGACTGGATGCTGCAGCCTAGTGGCGTGGCAAATATCTCACCTGCTTTTTCAGCAGCTTTAGCACCAACCGTTGAGCATGAGGGCTCTCCACTCGATTGAGACCTCAGAAAGCACTACTATGTTGTCATATACTCGAGTCTGGTGGGACGAAGAAGGAGAAGAAGAAAAAGAAACGAATGGTGAAGGACATCCATCGAAGACAGAAGAACCACAATGATCACAAAAGGGAATTGACCAAAGCGATCGCACTAGTTCAGCACTTTTGAAGCCTGGGTGTCCACACGCTTCAAGATAAAGGGCGCCCGATAGTGGATGAGGTATTTACGAACTCGCTCTGGGCCTGAGCCGAGCCCCCGCGCAGCACCTTGGAATCCTGCAAGGCCCATCACAGCACCACTTGCTGTGGAGTAACAAACTGGAACTGCCGAAGGGCGCTCCGGGCTACCAGGCAGTCTCGGCAAACTAAATACAGCACCTCCACCAAACGCAGAGTCCCGCAGGCCTCCGCGAATCAACAAGTGCAACAGAAGAACAGTGGGGGGGGGGCCTTCCAGGTCTATTCGGGCTCCTTCAAACAAAAACGTTTTCTTGGCAGGCTTGCTCCTACTTGATTAAGTAAGGCAGTAAGCTACTAGGCTAAAATAGCTTTTAGATCCCCTTTACAATTACCCCTAAGGGGTCAAGGCCCCATTTTGTAGGTATAAACCTGCGGGGTGTACCCCCCCCCCTACAAAATGAGTAGGGGTGTCAAAAAGTAGGCTGTACAAACTCACCGGTCTAAGCACCAATCCCCGGGAAGCTGCCCATCTCAAGGTTAGACATTCTGCAGGGGTCAAGCCCCGATGTTTTATATGAAATTCACTGTTCAAAGCGGATCTCTGGCCTCAAGATGTCAAAAACCAAAGACTCATTTTGTAAGGACATAGCAAAACATGCTGCTGGGACTTTTTCACAGCTCTGCCAGTCGTTCTGTTCAGTTCAAACCCTCTTATATGTAGGGATCAACGTTGCTTTTTGGAGCAGCGTGTGCATATAGGATATGCTTTGGACGCTGGTTGACATTCAGCATCCACATGAAAGCATGTTGCTCTCTTGCAGAAGAAAACTACATCGGGCCACTTCTCAATCCTCTCAGTCTTCTCAAGAGTGGCTTTCTGTTTCGAGGCACCGTTGAAGCCAAAGAGCGACAGATATTTTTGGGTAGACTGTAGTACAATCACATCTCAAGTCTGTTTGAAGGTCACGGGGCTCTAGTTCCTTACAAAATGACTCTGGGAAACAGTTGCAAGCCTCTTACAAAAAGAGCAGGTGCAACCTGGACACAAATTTGAGAACCCATTGTTCACATCATAACCTTCCTACAAAATGCCTTTTGGATATTGGCGATGCAACTACAGAATGAGGGGCTGTAACCCCTTCAATGTTAACTCTGACTTGATTTCCTTACAAAATGGCTTCTGACTTTTGGAAGATGCAACTACAAAATGAGTCCTGGGTTCATTCTTACAAGATGCCCGGGTGCTTGAAATTGATTTCTTACAAAATGACCCCTGCCAACCATTTTATATGGGCCTTAAGGCCACCCATTTCGTAGTGGAAATGGGGATGGGGATGCTTTTAGTAACTGGACGCAGGATAGCTCACGTTTCCAATGGTTTGGTTCTACTTCGCTTTGCGCCTTTAGAGCCTTAGAGATTCAGCTGGCAAAGGCAACGGCAGCGGATCTCCTTCGATATGTATCATATACATTCAGTCAATGGCTTGCACTACGCTCCCTTTTCCTTTCGCTTGCACTCCAGTCAAAGGCTTTCTGCCAATTGCATTGGTATCCATGCATCAGCATGGACCTGATTCTCAGGTGTAGGATCTTCCTCACGTTTCACGTGCGCACCCAAGGCACTAATCCCCAATGCACTTAAAGAAAGCTGAAGACGACACTAAGGGGAAGGAGCGGAAGCTGCCAAAGCAGGTGTGGGATTGCAACTTGATGACAAGTGAAACCAAAGTGCCGAATGAACGGATCTGCGAAGCCTTCTCTAGATAAACCGTCTGTCCAGTTGTACTTTGACTGAACCCATTCAAACCACATGCTGCAATGCAGACTGAACAATAACATGTGAATCATCTGCGCCAGCCGATCCAGGTCCGGCGAATCAGATCGGCCTCTCACCAATGACATCAATGATGCGATGTTGTCTATCCACCATAAGCATGTGGTGCGCTTAAAGGAGTCTGGAAAACAAATCAAGGCTTGGAAGACCATCAACAACTCTAGTTGCGCAATGACAAAATCCTTGGCTTGCCAAATTCAAAACTGAAGGACTTTAGCATCGATCTTCACTACAGCTCCTCTGCGACAAAAGAAGGTATCACTGAACAGAAACCCACCTGACCCTTTGCCCAACTCATGGGCTGCATCAGAGGCTGCAATCATGCGTGGCTCTGAAGAGGGGAAAAGGGACACTGTCCTCCTGGGTCGTAACGACAAGATAGTCTCGATAACGCCGAACGCTACCTCAAGGTGGGTTGTCAGCTCTACTGAAGTGTCGAGGTGTTGCCGATCTTTGATGGCGTTCAGCCCTGCTCGGGCCACTTTGCCAAAGACTGTCACAAAACCGAACAGCTTCGCCGCTGTACCTGGGTGGAGCAGGCGGCCCCGACGCGCCGTCCGGATAAAATCCTGAATCTTGTCTTGCAGCCTAGATCTAATCCAAAGCTGGATCCGGCCAGCTGAATGGGCTATCGACAAGTCGCTGCGAAGGGAAAACCTAGGTGTTCCAACACCTGCCCCATGACACTCTGTGCATGAATGGCTGTGGGCTCCCAGTCCTGCAGCGTACAGTCATCGTAGTAAAAGCTGGCCATTAGTCCTAGCATGCGACGCAACAGTGCTTGACAAAAGAATGGCACTCTATTAAAGGCTGTGACTGCTAGGGGTAACCCAAAGAGCATCGAGTGGTGCTGCCGGAAGACTGGTCGACCTTGAGTGGATTGGTACACTACGATGCAGGCACAGCTGTGCTCTTCCAACATTGGAATCTTGCGATATGCATCCGGGAGATCTTCGCCACAGGACCACTGGCAGATACTGGCAGCGGCAACTTCTCCATGCCTTGATAAGCATAGGCTTGCGCTAAGGCTTGAATGTGGGCGCAAGGTTGCAAGGCACTCCAAAACTGTAGCCGGTTAGCATCACGGCTCCAAAAGCTCTGCCCCCCACTTGCTGCGTCATCTATGACCCTCTTCTTACCAGAAGCTTGCGTGATGACGAAACGCCGCAGCAGCCTGTACTCAGGAAATCGCCTCTGCAGTTCCTTCCAGCCAAAATCCTCAGTACACCAGTTATTGCGCTCCAGCTTCATGGACTACCTCCAACTCCTTGTCGGACAAACCGGCGATGAGAGCTGATGCTTCCGAAGGACCCTCGCGCAGCACATCTTGCAAAGATGCAAACTCAGCAGCTTGGGATGCTCAAATTCCAGAGGGCAGGAGATAGCCAACTGCTGGGAAACCGCTGTGCAATCCGGCACAAAAGGATGTATCTGGCCACTGCATAATGGCGATGAAAAGCCAAATCACAGCGAAATGTACTCTAGGGTTCACGGCCGCTAGGACCGAAGTCTGACTTGCACGAATGTAACGTATGACTCCTTCCAAGCGAGCACAAAGTCCTAGAAAACAATCTAGAGCGTCTTGCCGAAAACCGGTAAGTTCACGCCTGAAATTAGCCATCAGGTTGGCCACGTAAGCGATGTCCACGTCGACTGGTGATGGAAAGTCCAAGGAGCCCCCCCCGATCTGCACCTGCAGCGCAGCAGCAAAATGCTCCTCAGGCGTCAGGTTGTAGGGTACAACTGGCGCTGCCACTGTCCGCCGTGCGCCTGCTCCTGCTTGCTCAGCCATGCCTGCCCGAAAGGCAACCACACCTGCGGTGGGGAGCATTGTGGGGCCACTGGGACCGTCGGCGGCGTAGTTTCTTTCATGAGCCCACTGGTGGAAGGAAAGAAAGGCTGGACAGTTCAGGTCTTCTAACAACGGCCATTTGACTCCTTGGAAATCCAACATAGGGAACTGACTCTTGATTGCCGACATGGCGGAAGCTTGGCTGAAAACTTGAGGAACTGCTCGTACCAGCCGGATCCCTGCTAGCATGATCTGGACGGGGTACTCGAAGACCTGCGAGACTTTCGTGGACGTTGCGGCCGATCAAATATTTGGCAATGATAACATCCACATGACAAAATGAGTTGGCTGGACAGTCACAGACTATGGTCTCGCCAGTGAGCTCATCAAGAGCTCCATCAAGCTGCAAACTATCCCAAGTCATAATGTACTTGAAAATGATGTCAACATGAGTCCCATCTCGCCCCTCCACAAATCGATTCTCCCACTTGGTGGGACTGTGCCCGTGCCCGGCGTAGACAGCTCCTGACTGGAGCCCGGTGTTCCGCTCGAAGAAGTCGGAGACATGACCTCGCACTGGCATGCCGGGGGCACTGGATGTGCCTAGTGAAATGGCCATCGGGACCATGGCATCCTGCCGAAAGGTGGAGGCCTCCCAGGCCGTCCAATGCCTGCGATCACCTGAGCATTCAACGGGGGCAAACGGGGGATCTTGATAATTGCGTATCCTTGGTTGGCTGCCCAAAAGGTACATGCAACAGCGAGTGTGAAAACGAGGGCAGCAGGATACTCTGCTTCTTCGGTGCTGGGGTACTCAGTCCTCCCCTCCAAGCTGTATGGTCCCCAATCATCTTCGTTGTGCATGTGGGCGCACACCAAATTGGGCAACGACCTCAGCTCGGGAATGTTGTGACGGATGGTTTGAGCTTTCTTCCTGGCAGCTAGAAAGCAAAAGTTGTCGTTGTAAAAATCAGACCAACAGCCATCTTGGCGCTATGAACTTCCACTGGGTCAAGCCCAGTGAAGACTCCTCCTGGGATTCTCCCGAAAAGAATTGCGCTCATGCAGGTTGATCACGTGTTGGATCGCCAACAGGTAGTCACTGACTCTATTGTCTTTCTCCACCCAGTCCTTGCTGGCACCTGTCAGGGTGGGCAGTCCCCAAGGAAACTTCTCGGTTCGCAGAGGCTTCGGAGCATTCGTTTGTGGCAGCTTGATTTCACGAATTCGACTCTTGGTGGAACAATCGATTGCCGCACTCACAAGGTGGCAGTGAGGCAGTACTGCGTTGATGGCTTTCTGTACAGAAGGCTTGACTAGATCAAATTCACGGTCAATGAGAATGTCAATGGGTTGAACAATTTTCCAACCAGCCCACTCAAACGCCTGTGCTAACGGGAATGCGGTCCGGACTGCAAATCCAAAAAGACATGGACCTGAGGCTGATCATCATCCGTTGTCTCAACCTGAGACCATCCATTCTGGACAGCGGCAACATGCTGATGGAATTCTTCCAAAGCGCCTGATGTGCTGGAAGGGTCCGGATTCTCCGGGTGTGAAACTACACGATCCTCCCCTCAGAGCTTGTTCTTGTTATTGCATCTGCTCCCTGGGTGATACGGATCCCCACAGATGCGCCCGCTCCTCAGCTTGCGCGCACAACGGTGCTCACCATTCGGGCATCGGGCCTCACGTTGCCGATCACAGCGTCCATGCTGCCACGGGCCATATAGGTTTGTTCCATCGCGGAAAGTGGCCGAAAGCTTCCCAGCCTTCTTGTCACCTCCTCAGGCAGTGCCGGAGTGCCTGTTGGCTCAGGCGGCGGCCCACTGGCCGCTGAGCCCTGGGGGTACATGGTCACCGCTGACCAATGCACATCCCTCTCCATGAAGATGCGATAGACAATCGCTCCAAGCTTCTCAGTGCCGGTGGAATACTTCTGGCACCAAGCCGCCCTCTCGCTCCGGTCCAAAGAGGAGATGTGCGGGAGCTTCATGCGCTCACCAATCTTCTTGCTGGCCTCCATGGCTCGAAACTGGTACTTCCAGGCCAGGTCCAATGGGAACTCGACATACAACGCGACCATGTAGACAAACAGGCATTCCAGGTAGGATGCACAATCCTCCTGCGCAGCCTGCTCTTCATCGGCGGCAAACCATGGGCGCAACCTTCCGTCGCTTGGACCGGAGGTAGCGACTCGCTGATTGGCCAAGGTCCGCACCTGGAACATGTTCATCACCTCCAGGTTCTTCTTCTGCAACGCTCGGCCCAGCTTGCTCAGCAGCTTGTCACTGGGCTGCTGTTCGGCCAATGGCTCGCATCACGAGCTTTCTCGGCCTGCGCAATGGATGACCAGGCGCGCTTCACACGCGCAGCTTGCCGCGGCTTGTCCAACCCGGCAATCGGGGTGACAAAGGTTTTCACCACATCCTCTTCATTCGAATAGTAAAAAACGAAACTCGGAAAGTGACTTCACACCGGAAACAAGAATCTCCTTCGCGATCGACTCATCATATAGTCGAACCTATCCTGGAGCTCCTTGAAAACAGCTTCAGGAGTCGACATGGCTGCTGCTGAAAGCAAGTATTACACTGCAGAAAGCTTGACGCAAAGGAGGCTGACGGGCAATGAGATCTGCTCAACTCGAGTAATGACTGCAAAATTGACATTCACTGAAAAAGCTAACAGCCCTCAGGGCTTTCAGTCTGTGATTGGCATTCAGCCATCGCCGCGGACCCTTCCGGCCTGATGTGGCTTCTCCGCCAGACTTTTCATACCTGGCAAAACTCACCAAGGTCGGTCCCAGCATCCCAGGACCTCAGGGGCCGCATACCCTGTGAATTGCCCCTGCACTATGCCGGAATCTACCCTACCTAGGTACCCACCCAGTTCATCGAGCAGCTCAACCTCCGGTAGTGCCGCAAACAGGCTACCACAAGCCTCCACGGCGCCCCCCAGCGCTGCTTGGAATTGCAACCCTGACATCGCAAGGCCAGGCAACCAAGTACTGTTACTGCTGGCAGTTGGCTGCCTCAAGTTGGCAATCGGTGACCTCCACCAAAAAAGCAGCGGGGTCAGGTAGCGGGGGTGGCGCATCGTGAACCAGACGCCGCCCAACAGAGAACCCATTCAGCATCTCCCACATGCTACCTTTCAGCTCAGAAAGGAAGACCATCCATGTGGGTCCCAACCGGTGGACTTCGACTGGGAAAGAGTCGACAAACTCGTGCAGTAGGCTGATCTGGCCAAACATAATCCACAAGGATGGGGGAAAAGGTGCTTCGCGAATGGGGTACTGCAACAACAGCAGCCGCTGGATCGACATGGCAGTAGGGCCAGCCATCTTGAATGCTGAGCGCTAAGTACAGAAAAGTAACATCAAGCTGGAATCGCACGATCAGAACATCTGGAAATCGCTCCTGTTTTCCTCGGGCGACGGGACGGTCAGCGGCGTGCGCGAGGCAACAGCTGACTCTTCCAAAATGCCGAGTGCTCCTGCAGGCATGAATTGTGCGCAATTTCGGCAAAAGGGCCTCTCGTGCACTAGCGCCTCTTGCACCGAGTCCGCAAAGCAGACATTGCTCTTAAAGAAACTACCCCGTTTCTTCCACTGACAAACGGGCTTGGGCGCATCTGAGTTGAAATCTACGGGCACCACGTGCCACAAGGACTTGTCGGCCTCAGCTGAAATGAACCTCAGCGGAATCCCCGCGGAGTTCTCGGGAAAGGTCTCACCTTCAGCACGGTCATGCACCCACTTGGTGAACTTCCTGTAACGATCGCCCAACATCTTGTGGGACTCAATGGCTCTGACGGAGGCCAAGTGCTTCATGGACTCAGCCATACAATGGATATGGATGGAGCCTCCATGTTCCAGGGTTGGCCTCACCAGAGGCCTGAGCTGGTTCCAATGCTGGTTGTGGTGCCTCTCATCAGACACAGCGGCCAGAGGGAAACTTTGCCCCTTTCGTTACTGCTGCCTGTTTGTAGCAAGTGACGACCAACTGAACATTATGGCTCTTCAACACATCACATGCTGCATCATCTGGGATTCCCCCAAGCAGGATAACGGGCCACTCCCAGAAAGGTTGTGCCTGTAGACCACAGTCGGCCAGCTCGGGGCGATCTCCATGGCAGGCCTCCTCCATGTCTTGGAGGCGAGTTCATCAAAGTAAGCGTCATCGCCTGGCTCCAACACCGGCTCTTCAACTGGGAGGAACAGAATCTCTTCTGCCTCCTCATCAGCGACATCCATGTCGTCAGGCGGTGGGCTCCCCACGGCAACACCGGCGCTTTCTGCGTCAGCTGGCGGGTTCTCCGCAGCCTGGACTTCGCGCTGCTTCTTCGACAGCCCTTGAAGCTTCGACCTCGAATCGTGAAAAATCTTTGCGTCAACGAATTCGCCTTCTGAAAGTGACTCTCTTCCGCCTGCGAGGCAGTGAAAAAGACTGCCTCAGTTGCCTGCAGGACAGTGGAGGCTCGATCGAAGCTCCTCTCACGGGTAGTGACGTATAAGGTTGTGCCCAAGATCGTCCCACTTGAGAACCTTGTCGGACAGCTGGAGCATGAAAGCGTGTTTCGTCTGCAGCGCCAGGAACTGCTTGGCCCCAGTGTAGCGCAACGGCATCTGGCTGCGCTGAGCAAGTCCACCCAGTTCCCCAAGGCCACAGTAGTGGCTGGGGGCACCTCAGCCAATGTAGCCCATGTGATCGACATCAGCCTCCAGGATTTGCTGGACAGCATAGAGAGCTCCTCATCAGGGACCACCCCCCGAATCGCCAGGCGCACCGTATCCAGAATGGACTTCGCTCGCAGCTTCTTCGCGATGGCCTCGGCAGTCTTGTCGACAAAATGACGTTTCAGCCATGGCCCAATGTCCAAATGGAACACAACGCATCGGCGGGGAGCTGCCCACAGGAATCCATTCCTCTGCCCCTTCTGCTTGCCCCTCGGGCACAAAAAGTAAACAGAGTGGCTGTTAGCCTTCAGCACCTTCGAGCGTTGCACATGCTCGAGACGGAGGCAACCAAAGACTTGAAGATAGGTCACCACACCAGCGCTGACGCGGCTGCTTTATCGTTCTGAGTGGCATGCGCAACTGCATCCAAAAGGGCCCACAGCCCACAACATAGCCGGCTCAGCAGTGGGCGCTTGCCGGGCCCCAACACCATGTCTCCCCTTCGCCACCGCGGAGCGCCCCACGCACAGCGAAAGGGTCCCATGGCACGCGCAGGTTGTTGCGCATCCATTGCATGGCTGGGAGGACACGGGAAGAAGCCTTCCACTGCTGGCGGAAATGTACCGCATGTTGTTGATACCGAGGGATTCGCCCCAGTTGGCCAACTCGGCTCAGGTAGCCACCACCCGCTTCAGAGTGGGAACCTCAGTCTGTTCCAACAACGACGTAAGCATGGGCTGCATAGCCCGGACAACATCATCTTGGGTCTCACCTTGGCCAGGCTTGAACCAACTGGCATTCACCGCAATCTCCTGTAACGACTGGCGGAACGGCTCCTTCGGAGTTGGTGGTTTCTCCACCTGCCGCGCAACACGCGGCGCTGAACTTGGCTTCACCTCAATAGATGGTGCAGGTTGCCTCACCTGAAGGGCCGGCAGGCTTGGTTTCTCCTCGCGAGCCAACATGGCTTGGACAACCTTGCTCGGCCTGCTGCCGAGCATGTTGCCATGCAGTGGCAATGAGGTCGCCCACCTCCTGCTTGGCCTCTTCGAATGAACTGAAAAAAAGGCAAAATCACCATCATCAGTGACTCCATTTATCTCACGCCAAACCTGCACCACTGGAAGGTCATCCATGACCAGGATCACAAAAGCTGAGCAGAGAGGTTCTCTCTTAGAGTTTCACTCCACAAAGCTATTTTGGCTAAAGCTAGCCTTGAGCCAAAATGTAACCATTTAACTTGCGCAAAGACCATGTGCTGAATGATTAGCCTACACCAAGCCTGCCCTAAGCACCAAAGGCACCTATATATATTATATGTGTGCATATGCTAATAATACGAGTAATTGTATTAGTTATATATACATATATACAGACATATACATGACTCAGCCACGTTGCAGGAGTCATCCCTTGGCCAAGCTGGCAAGATCTGGCAAGGTGTCTGTTGATCTCATGCCCCGGGCTGACAACATAGTCAGACTGTTCACTGCAAGGCGGGAAGAGGTTTTGACAATCTTCAGAATGCAGATCATATCCCATGAACTATGCCTGCCAAAAGCATGAGGACAGGGGCAAGCGTCGACCTGAAATGACTCCATGGGAGCAGGAGCAGGCGGATCTAGTCACATGTGAGCGCTTCAATTAATGGGCTGAGATGTCAGGAGTTATGAAAGCAGTTCCGCCAGTGTTCCCTTCTAGACAAGACAGAACAGCATTCAACACGGATTTATATAGCCTCACAGCTGCACGCAACCCCTGGTGACGAAGAACAAGCAGCGGACCAGCAGCGCTTGCAGCTTGAAGGCATGGTAACACCTCAAAGCTGAGGCCGGGGGCAAGCTTTCAAAATCGGTGGTAGCATGAAAAAGCTGGTAAGATCTTGTAGGAAACCACGTCTTTGGCCTGCCTGCGCATGCAGAGTCTTTGGGCTCTACAAGCCAAGGGGCTGGTGGAAGTGGCTCTCCGCTGGTGTCCTAGACAAGCACCAGTGATGTCAGAATTCACCGCTCCACACCAATAAGAGGCAATATGCATCAATAACCTCACTGAAAAAATCCATATATATATATATATAGTTATTTTTGGTGCGGGTGGCCTGCATACGCGGTTCCAACGCTACAGACTGACTGACCAATTATCAATCCGAATGGTGCTTGTTTCCTGCTGCTCATCTCACACCCCCGTTGGGGGCTTTAGCAGTGGGTGCCCTTAATCCGACCGAGCTTCATGAACAGCATGCTACATTACATGGTCTTCCTCGACGATCCAAGTCTACCAAGTCTTTTTGTTGGACAGAAATGACAGAATGTCATCTACGTAGGTGCTTGTCCATTGCAGTGAGCCTGGCCCGAGCACACGTCTGGATTCTGGTTCAAGTACTTTAGCACCACCAAAGCACCTTGCTGCATAGCATTTCCACATGTGAAGGCTGCTAGGCTATGCTTTTGCTGCTTTGACGCCTGTGTAATTACAAGTGCTTGGGGTGGTCCATGTTTGACATACGCCACACCTAACATGGTCTCCGTAACAGAGTGAGCACAGCTTATGCGTTGCTTGGTCATGTGATGGGACCTTTCAGAGTCTCAGCGTTCTGGACTTCACTCCTCTTCCCATGCTGCAGCTCAGTGGCCGTTGGATTCTGCCAGCAGCTGTGAGAGAAAGGCAAAGTCTTCCGAAGAAAAGCGGCGTGCAGACTTAAGGAGGATCAAGATCACCCCTGGCAGCGGCTGGGTGTAAGAGAATGGGACCCTTGCAAATGCCTAGGCGGGGGCTGCCCACAAACCAATCTTGTAAGATCTTGACGCCGACATTCTAGAAATACAAGAGCTGGAAGGCTACGATGCGTCGCATGCCATCGCAAGTCCTGTGGTGACCCGAGATACCGCGACCAGCTAAGCCGTGAAGTGTTGTCACAACAGCTACCCTTCATGATAAGACTGAGCCAGCAAATGCCCAGTTCATTTCCCTGCCCGGCAATGCACCTGCCACAGCTGCTGCCAATATCTCCCTATGTCTTTGAGCCTGCGACAGCCGGTTTATGCGGAGGAATCGGTTTCCAGGCCGGAGGGTGCATGTTCACAGTAAAAAAAAAGTAACTTCTCAAATGGTGGCATCAAGGAAACCTACAAACACCGGCAGCGAATCCACACATGCCACCCCTTTCCTTAGACAAATATGGGCAAATACGCGTGGTGTGTGTGTGTGTATGTGTATCTAAATATATATATATATATGATATGTGCAGTATATATACACCACACGCATGTATGAATGCATATGAATGAATGCGTTCAGAAATGCTGACAGACGTGGAAGTGGGTGATGGGGAAGGTCATCGTTATCAATCTGTAAACTGTAAACTCGCACAATGAATCTGCAGTCCTGGCAATCCGCAACCACCAAAAACCATTCCAATCCGCAATCCTAACCGTCTTAACCCGCCCCATAGCTTGAATCACGACACAAGGGGCAGCATCTCTGATATAGGGGGTGGACCGACCATGACAAGAGCCTAATCAACAAATAACAGCAATTTTCATATTTTTCTTATTACAGGAAGAGCTGCTCTTCACTTCCACAGAAACCGTTAGAGTGCAGTTTCACACTCGGCCTCTGCCTCGTTGAACTCGTGAGCCTTCGCGGCAGCTCGGACACCCTGTGAATGTAACAGTTGTATACACTTGTGATCTATATATATATATATATCACAATATATCAGTGATTACGTATATAGTTATATTCTGTATGTGAACGCTGCCACACGTATCTGAACGCTGCGGCTTTTGTATCTTGTCCATCCCACTGTCTTTAGAGGATGAAGGCCGCAAATGTGGGTCTTGAGAGTCTCTTGGAAGATTCAGAAACAGCGTTAAGCAGGAGCAGCAGCAGCGGGAGTAGAAGCATAAGAAGAAGAAGAAGAAGCAGAAGTAGAAATAGCACTTGGAACAGCAGCAGTAGCAGTAGTAATAGTTGTAGTAGCAGGGGCAGCAGCGGGAGTAGAAGCCGAAGAAGAAGCAAAAGTAGAAATAGCACTTGTAAAAGCAACAGCAGCAGCAGGAGGAGCAGGAGGAGGAGTAGTAGTGGTGGTGGTGGTCATGGCAGTTGTAGTGCAGAAGCTTCCACGCAAATTGCGGGGCTGTAGTGGGGAGTGGGGCTGGGCTCGGTCACTAACATGCGTGGGCTCCGAAACTGGCAGAGGTTGGCAGCAGCAAGTAGTAGAGGGGGAGTAGTAGTGGTAGTAGTGGTAGTGGTAGTGGTATTGGTAGTGGCAGTAGTGGTGGTTCGTTCGTTCGTTCGTTCTTTCTTGTCTTTCTTTTTTCCTGTATTTTTTGGTTCTTTTCTTTTGTTTCTTTTTGTTTTCTTTTCTTTTCTGTTCTTTTCTTTTCTTCTCCTTTCTTTTCCTTTCTTTTCCTTTCTGTTCCTTTCTTTTCCTTTCTGTTCCTTTCTTTCCCTTTCGTTTCCTTTCGTTTCCTTTCTTGTCCTTTCTTGTCCTTTCTTTCCCTGTTTTCTTTCTTTCTGTCTTTCTGTCTGTCTTTCTGTCTGTCTTTCTGTCTGTCTGTCTGTCTGTCTGGGTGCCTGCCTGCCTGCCTGCCTGGCTGGCTGGCTGTCTGTCTGTCTGTCTTTCTTTATTTATTTATTCCTTTCTTTCCTTATGTATAGGGCTCAAGCTATTTTTACCGCAGCCAGTGAAGGCGTTCATTGAGACTCGTTTCAGCCTCACCTGGTTTCTATGCCTTCTCGGCATTTGTATGTAAACTTTGCCCATGCAGGCATACAAACAAGCGACAACGTGCCCATGCAGGCACTTTCTATTGGCCTTGCAGCCACAACTTTACTGGCCATGCAGCCAGAATCCACTGAGCACACATCGGTGAAAAGCTTTCACCCGCGCTTTGCAGCGCGCCTTCCCGGGTGGGATGGGTGTGGCCCAGCAGACTGTTAAGCCGAAAGGACGCGGTAGAAACACTCATTCGCCCTATGTTTCTAAAGAACCAAAAGGGCTCAAGCTATTTTTACCGCAGCCAGCGAAGGCGTTCATTGAGACTCGTTTCAGCCTCACCTGGTTTCTATGCCTTCTCGGCATTTGTATGTAAACTTTGCCCATGCAGGCATACAAACAAGTGACAACGTGCCCATGCAGGCACTTTCTATTGGCCTTGCAGCCACAACTTTACTGGCCATGCAGCCAAAATCCACTGAGCACACATCGGTGAAAAGCTTTCACCCGCGCTTTGCAGCGCGCCTTCCACGGTGCCCACTTCCGCTGTTTCACGGCGGGGATCCCAAAAGTCAAGCAGATTCCGAGTGGCTGGATTCATCAACAACCCAGGTAGCTTACTAAGACCATCCGCAATGTAAACGCGGGCCACCTTGTTGGACGACCAACGGCCTTTGACCAACGCGACTTCCATGCTTCCTGTAGTCTGAAAGAGGTGCGTTGCACCCCCCCTCCGAAGGGAGTATGGCCTGAAGTGGAGCGCGTCCAAGCCGAAGCGACGAAGGTAAAAGTCGAAGTGGTTTCTAAAGGCCTGTCCGGAATGTTCCCAAAATTTATGCTCTAATGCTGCGCGACTTTGCAGAACATCAATGGCCGTCTGTACAATCATGCGTGTAAATGCATCATCCACAGAGATGGTCTCATCGGCTGAGGTTTTGTTGCCACTCTTAGTGCCCTTTAGCGACAGAATCAACTGAGTGTCATTGATGAGCACGTCTGTTCCTCGCAATGCCAACATTTCTCCAGTCCTCAAAAGGCCAAAGAACCCCAAGCAGAGGAGGGCAGCGAAGAACAAATCTTGGTGGCAAATACCGTAGTGTGCCAAGCTGTAGACAATTCCACAAGTAAGGGGTGGCGCTCTGGCCGGCCATTCTAATTTTCGCCACGTGGCGAATAGTCGCCAAGCCGACGGGATGCAACGTTCAGTGAGAGGCTCGTAAAAGTGCAAGCCACAAAGAGCATTGCTCACAACATACAAGGACTCTCCGTCCTCCCACACCAGCTGGACCCATTCAGCGACAGCCGTGTCAAGGTCTGAAGGACTCTCAACATCTGCAAGAAAGGGGAGCAACTTCCGCAGTCCTGCTTGGTATCCTGCACGGGTCTTTTCAGTGACCCCAACTTCGGCCAGGTCAAGGCCTTTCCTTGCTTGTTTTCGTTCTTTGCGGGTGGTTTTGTGAATTAATCTAGGGTGAAACTTTCCCATCCTTGCTTTCAACTTCGACTGGCAGCATCGGTCGGGTTCTCCGTGCTCTCAATGTGGGTCACCAACAAATGAATCCCATGGAGAAGCAACATGGCGTTAAGAACCCGAAGCAACCTGTTCAACATGTGACTTGAAGTTCTTCCTTTGCTAATGACGCTCATGCAAATGTAGCTATCGGTGGCGTGGAACACGCGAATGTTGCCCCACTTGTGCCGCTCAATCCCTCTCTGCACGGAAAGGAGGATGGTCTTAAGCTCCAACAAGTTTATGTGTTGAGACTGTTTCCATTTAACCTTCACGCAGGGCGTCCATGACCACCAGTTAGCACACACGGGTTGCCTGGGGAAGGACCTGGGATTGACAATGTCACCACTAGTCACTCTGACATCACTGCCTGTAAAGTTTGCTCTGCCTAGGAAGAACTTGTTCAACTCTTGAACCGTAAGGTTTGGGGCGGCATGAACGAAATTCTGGCACCCATACACCAACTTCCGCGCGATCGGGGCTTGAAGTCTAAGTGATACTCGAAAGCCCGGGGCGAGACCCAAACGGTTGGCCAAGTGTTGATAATGGATTCGGGGGAGAAATTCTCGTGAGATGGCTGCTCCAATGACAACAAAGGAGTGAATGCTAAATGCATCTCCTATCAGGGAACATTTCTCAAGCTCAAAGTTCCTCCGACTCTGCTTAATTTGACTTGCCGACCAAGCTAGCTGACAATGCCCAAAGCCGTAGCCCATAAGAAGACCTCTCTCTTCACTATCAATCAAACGCCACTTGCCTTGTCGCCAAATCAAGAATTCGTCACGGAACTGATACGGGGTGTAAATGTACCCTGAAGCAGCCCACCTATCCTGACAATCGGTGTTGGCTCGGTCCAACCCAGCCGGAAACTTTGGGGGAGAGGTTTTTGCAACAGCGCGCATACACGTGGGGAAACCCTCAACCTGTGACTCTCCTGGCCACTCACATCCTTCCTCCAACCACTGACCTAGATGGGGATATGGCGCCTTAGCTGTGACGCGACACCATCTTCGTTCTTCTGTACAATGAACTCCATCGAGGCAACCATCCACCTGCTCGCTTGTCCAACATAGTCGGGGACGCCGCATTGGTACAGCATCGAGACTATCCAAGTGGTAAGGACGTACTCCCATCCAACTTGATATCTCTTCTGATGCCAACTCGTCCATTGATGCCACGTTCTCTGCTGCTGTCTTGATTTGAACGTCGCCGAACTCTTCTGTAAGCAGCTGCCAAATTCGAATGAACTCGAAAAATAGTCCGCTGTCACGACCTTCTAGGTTGGTTCGACCGGCCCTAGCGGAACTAAGATCTCTACGCGGGAAACCGGCCCAAAGATGAACTTCCGAGACCGTGTGAAAGTCCAAGGCCCACTCCTGAACAACCTCACGGCTAATCTCTCGCACATCACGCAGAATCTTAACCCCCGGCCATCGTCTACTAACGATTCGGTTGGCCGGCTTGTGAATGTCAACTGCTATTGAAGCCCGGGGGATAATGTCCAGGATGTCATAGATTCGAAAAGTTCCTCCAATACCTGAGAAAAGTCCAATCACCAAAATGGGGGCAGTACCAAGCGTGCGACTTGACAACCTAGCCGACATAAGAAAGTCTTTCCCTTGCTCTGTCAAACTTTCCGAAACCGCCGTAGCACCACCCGTTTCTGATGCATCACTGCACCAAAACGAGGTGTCCACCCCGGCACCCAACGTTGTATGGAGGAGTGGAATAGCCAACATCACCATGAACAGCTCACGTTTGACATGAAGCGAACGATCGGCTCCCCCGTGTTTCGAACTGACAAATGCACAAACCTTATCCAAGAAGCCCATACCGGGACGTCTGAATTGCAACACGTGCACCCAACGCCTGGCAATGACCTGGACCTGTTTTCTATCCAACACCTTTCGAGAGAGGACCCAACAGGTGGCTTGGATCAGCTTGCAAAACCTCTTGTTTGAACCCCCTAAATAGCCTTGCTGACCATGGATGAGTGCGCCCAGTTCCTCGATCTCAACTGCACACTCGACCTTCTTCTTTTGGGAGGAAATGATACCAACTTTCTTCCAAGCCGTCTCTGCATTGTCATGTTGGGTTTTACATATCAACGGGTCCTCTCCTACCAAACGCTTTTGTCCCCCCATATAATTATCAAGATAAACCTGCCAGAAAGCCCTGTCTTCGGCGACAGACTGGTGAGCACATCTTGTCAGCACCTCGGGAACTGCGAAGCCACGTCTTATTTGTGAGTGCTCACTGAAACCGGCATTCCAAAGGATCCGCTCCGACACTTCTTGCATAAGCGAAACGCTTGAGTTCCATCCCATTGGGAGTACGGAACAGGCAAGTGTGTACGAAGATCCGGCCACTTGTCCAATCTCTGATCCATCGCAATGAACATTGAAGC